GTAGAAGGTGGCCACGGCATCTCACTGTTGGTAGCAGTGGTTGATCCTGAACAAACAGGAGTAGGACACCATCTCTCAGCTGGTCTATGTTTTGAAGCCCATTAAAAATGCCATCGAGACCATTTCTGCTTTGAGAGCACTTCTCATCCAGGTGGTCCCTCTTGTCTTCGTGCTCAGGAAACACTTGGATATGCTAAGGGGCAGACGGATGCTTGACTCCCTAGCTGGGCCACTGACACCCCAAATGCATGAGATGGATAGGAAATTAACGTTTGCCCTCCAGAAATGCCTGGAACCATTGTTAAGTAGCAATATCCATATGTTGGCAGCTATCTGCAATACATACATAAAGGACACAGTCTGCCCCAAAGATGTTGTTATATGGCAGGCACAGCTTGTTACCCTGGTGATGCACAGCTTGTTACCCTGGTCTCAGGGTGGGCTATGTAGTCCCTGAAGCACCAGGAGGTTGCATCATAGCAGCTATACTAGTCACGCCAGCAGAAGCAGGGGTGCCAACAGCCCAAAGGTGCCATCTGAAGAGTGTTGTTGGCCAAAACAGCAGCAGGAACAATAGCAGCAGCAGCAAGAAGGTTTCTTTGAAGAGACCATTGCCATGCTAGTTGGATTGCCATCCACCCAAGCACGCAAGATAGACTTGGCAGAGGGTTCTGTTAACAGTTACTTGGAGGAGCTGGTAAAGGTTCTGGCCTGCGATCTGTTGGTCTACTTGTCTCCAGATCATTGCCTGGAAGTTTTTCAGCTGACCACCTACTGGCATGCAGAGTGAAAGCTTTTTAAGCCTGGCTGGAAATGTCATCATTCCTCGCTGGAGCTTGTTAGATCCCATCTTAGTGGAACAGCTAGTCTTCCTGAAGTGGAACAGCTAGTCTTCCTCTCTGTCCTGGGGTTCCCTGAGCTGGACCATGACATCTAAACCTCACAATCTTTTGCACCACAATTTTTACAAATAATATTTTTTAGAAACTACAGTTTTTACAAAAGAAAATATGAGCTGTCCCAACAGCCACATGGTACATGACAGTATTACACAGCCGGGATGGCTCTTGCAAGCAATCTCTCTCAACGTTTTACACCAAAAAAATTGCCAAAAGCAATTTCTATGAGCAGGCCCATGGCAGCGTGGTACAAACCAAAGTCACACTGCCAGGACAGCTCCTTCAAGATTTTAACCAGCTACTTCACCCTCTCTCCCTTTCCCTACCTCTCATTTTTTGCAATTTTGAAAAGAGTTTCACCAATTGCAAGATCCTTCTGCACTAGAAAAAACACACCACAATTCTGCAGGAGCTCCACAAAACTACCACTTCTCCCACATACTTGCAATTTGGTTTCTGGGTCTTTGGAGGAATCCCACAGAGGATTTGCTGATCTTCCTTTGCCACATTGCTGCTGTCCCCAGCTGCCACTGTCCCACACTTTGGGTCTTGTCCTCTTCCTCCCCAAGGTCTTTTGCTCTGTCCATAGCAGTGAGGGGGAAGCAAAGCACATCCATCAAAAAACTTTTGGTTTCCTTTGAAACTCGAGATGGCTATACAGCAAAGGAGATGCAATGGACAGCTGTCTCAATAAGTGAATCAAACTCTTACAGAAGGCCAAAGTACAATTTCTATGCTAGGATAACCAACCTTAGCGGCTTGGCAGACAGCTGGTAGGCTATGGCATCCCTCTCCTTCCCCCTGAAAGCCATCCACAAGACGTTTGATCCCTGCTTTTGGGGGTATCATGTGCATCCAGAAAATGAAGCTCCAGAAGTTTGGTTGCAGAAATTGTACTGGTCAGTCACCTCAACCTTTCCAAGGGCCCCTTCAGTCCCAGTGCCAAAGGAAGCACCCACCGCACCGGACTGTAGTGTTTTTGATCCCCTCCTGTGGTCTTCATTAAAGCATGATGATGCTGTGGCACTAGGTCTTCTCCAGGTCAGAGACAGACTGGTGGCAACTGCAGTTCACAGCTGTCTCAAGGACTGCATCACTTTCTGAAAGAATGCCAGCAGTTACCCTATACCTTTAGATTCCTTTGTTCCGAATAGATGGGTGAGGTGTCACCTAGGTGGCAATGGTTGTTTGTTTGTTCACACTTGTTGATGCTTCTTCAAACAAGTATCTGGGGGCCCTTCTGGATTTCGTATTTACTGAGCAGCCAGATAGCCTTCAGAGCACGATACCAGTCAATACACATGGCATCATGAGGCTAAATTCATAGAGCTTTGCAATACTTTGGAAAATAGGAATTAGTTTTCATTTTTTCATTCATTCCACATTTCAGTAGCCACTTCTTCTTTCACCTCTGCAACATAGTGGCTATGACAGCCCACTCCCCGCCAGCAGCACATGCCTCACCTTCACAGCCATGTCTTTTTGCCCGGGAGGCATATTAAGGAATACTTAGTTTAAAACTTGGATGACCATCTGTCAGGAGAGTTTTGATAGTGCCCTTCTGCCTGGAAGAAGAGGTTGGAGTAGGTGGCCCTTGGGGGTTGTTCCCCCCCCCCCCAACTATAGTATTCTATCAAAAATTGTTAATATTGGTTTTGTCTATTGGTTAATATGAGATACATTCAATGAGAGAGCTGTTTTGACTTTTTTAAAAAAAACTTTTGTCAAAACTTTTAAAAATCCCCCAAATCAGTAACTATATGAATACTTCAGAAAACTGGGGGGAATGATCCCCTGTTATTTTGTGTCATTGGATAGAAAATTCAAGGTGATAGCTCTTATAGGTTTTATATATATATATATATAGAAAATTCCCCCAAACTCCATGGATAAGTGAAACGTTCTGAAATTTGATGGACTATGCGGTAAATATATTCTACCATTATAGAAAGTTTGACCCTAATAGCTGTAGAAATGAGGGAGAAAGAAGCAGCAGAAGCGCCCCCCCCCAGGTGTGCAATTACTATAGTGAAATAGTAACAAAATCTTGTTACTCTTGTTATAATAATGCAATTTTCACCAAGTATACTTTAGAAATGAAGCACCAGTGCCCCCAATTTTGTAATGACTTTTAAACCATTTTAATGGCTCACACAACCCTACTAATTACCCAGTACAATCAGTACAAATGGAAGGCAATAACAACAAGGGGGAAATTATCTCAACCACATTATACTATTTGTATGGCACACAAAGAGAGGGTGGAGGAATGATGGATGGATGGAGTGAGGATGAGATAGATGGATAAACAGATGGATAGATGTGAACGGGATTTTTGAAATTGTAAAAATATAATCTATGAACCTGAATTAGAGAAGAGGTTTCTGGGTACATGTCCTGAAGAAGTGAATTTCCAGGTCAGCTATGAAAATGTTTGCATACAATGGTGCCATGTGGGTATCCAAAGCAGTGTCACTCACTTGAAGGTTCATGTTATTCCCAAAAGGGAGTAATTATGAATGAATATGAAGTGGTAGATTGGTAGCTTGGTGTGCTGTAGCCTAATTCAGAATTGTATTATTGTATTCTTGATGGCTTGTAATTCATCCTGGTGTGGGATACTAGACCCATGGAATCACTTGAGAAGTTTCAGCAGGATTTCAACAAATTCCATCCTACAATCCAAATTCACTTTTTTGACCCCACTGTACAACACACAAGCAACTTTTAAGCATCACACTGTATAGAGAACCCACTGATCACTACATACAGTTACATGCTTCCAACTTCTACCCAGAACACACTACCAAATCTACTGTTTACAAGCCAACCCTCCAATATGAGTGCATCTGCTCCAATTGACAAGACTCAAAACTCTTGGATTTACACTGGGCATTCCTCCAACTTCAATACCCACATGAGGACAGTATCCTGAAACAATGTACTCCAAGACAGACCAAAAAAACCAGAAAATGACAGAATACCATAAGTTATCACATACAGCCCACAGTTGAGATCACTCAATGCATCATCAATTACTTACAACCAGTTTTGGGGAATAATACACCTTGCTCATAAGCTCAACTTTACTGGACATACAATAAGGAATTGACAAGTTATGGTTCTAGAACAAGAAAATTACAAAGGAAAATTGGAAAGAAAAAGAGCTGAGATGAATTATATTGATATATTCAAAATCTATTTGTAAAAGTATGAACAAAGATAATGACTTCATATACTAATGCACGAGTCCTTAAAATTGCACAAATAACAAAAAGGATCTCTTCGGAGAAAGTTTGTCCTAAGGAACTGACTTTTGGTATGCAGGTTTATTGCTTTCAAATGTCAGTACCAACTAACCGACTACTGTAAAGATCCCAAGAACCTGTATCATATTTGAAGATTTAGGGTGAGGGTTCCAATTTGCATCTTTCTGGATCCCACTGCATTTTATTATACCCCCATAATCTATAAGTATATGCTTAATAATCTGGGCCTTTAATATCACTGTCTATTGCATCTGAAGAAGTGAACTGATATCCATGAAAGTTCATGCTAAAATATAAATAGTTTTAAGGGTGCTAACACATTTTAGTTTTTCCTCCTTTGCCCCTTTTCCTTTTTATGCTGTAAGAGACTAACATGCTACTTCTTTGTTAAGTTCTTTATCTGTCTGAATAAAAAAAAACAATGTGATGAAATTGGCTACAGCACTGGGCTTTGGTTAAAAAAATCCTAGACTTCATAAAAATCAAAGTGTACTGAACTCCTTGAAGTGAGAACTGAAAAAAGTTGTCATTGTCATACTGCTCTATATCTCACAGCCTCCCTGACTAATAGCTTATCTAGAAGTCATGAGACTTGGTGTCTAATAACAACTGGAAACAAAGAGGTCCCTCACCCTGCTTTAGAGGAAGGCAGCATACAAATTTAACAAATAAATAAATAATAACTAAATACAATCTATTTTCCAAAGCACCATTAGTTAAATTTGTGAAATTAAGTACACATTTTGAAAGTATTAGTTTATGAAAATAGTTCTTTAGCTAAAAATACAAATACAAGCAAAACAAAGAACCAATCGTATTAAAACAAACTTACATCAACATGCAGCCAAAGGCCATATCTTTCACAGATGTCGGCAATTTCATCCAAAGGATCAAATGCTCCCAAAACTGTGGTGCCAGCTGTAGCGCTGACAAAAAATGGTGCTGAACCCTGTGGAATGAGCCAAAACAAAAGAGAGATTGTTTGTACAGTTCAAATTCTCCAGTGAGCATAACACTAAAAACAATAAGGTCTGGGAATCTAGGACAAGACTAACAGTGGCTACATTTTACATCCACAATGGAAAACTACACAGGATATTATAGACTAAACATATTGGAAAAACGTGGGTTACTTAAGTACAAGATTATAAAATACTGGTTGTCGGTCAACGTTCTTTTGCAATATTATAGGGTCTGGTCTCAAGACATTTAGACACATGTTGCTCTTTCTCTAAATTCCACTTGGAAATATTTCCTTTATAATAGGACCAGTCTAAGGCATCATCAAAATAGTGGAAAGTAAATGGCAATTTCCTGCCTTTTAATAGTGTAAAAATATCTAAGAAAGTTGATTCATTCTACCTCACGGCAAAGTCCTTGTTCACAATAATATCCCTATATTTAAGGATTGCCCATAATCTTCTTAAGAAAAGAAGAGTACTCCCATGAGAGATATATTATATACATTACATTAAATGAATAACTGCATTTATTATTACTTTATTTTTAAACCAAGCTAGCCACTGTTCTGGATTGGAACTGAGGTCTGCATGCCAAAAGGCTAACCCTCTCCTCCACTATGGCAGCTCCAATATTACTCATTTCCCAGGGCATATATACACTAACTACGTAATATGGATTGAGGGCATTTCAATATCCAGTGTTTAAATTATGCAAAGCATATACATGCACAAGAAAATAAATTAGAGGCCTTAAACCAGCATCAGCAAAAAACGAGGGATATTCCAAAATAGGCCCTGTTATGTGCATTAGCACACATAGATGTAAACCACATCACATGGAAAAACCAATTAAGGGGAAAGCACTCCAGTGATCCACATATGCGCATGAGGCCCAAATCCTCTATGGCCATCAAACCACCAATACTGCGGATCCTGGAACCAGGTTGGATGTAATTTCTCCAGTTCCAGGGCTTCACACATGAACAGATACATATTCAATTTGATTCTGCCTCTGCCGCTTTTGTCCCACATTACTTGCTCAGTAAGTGAGGTGATAATCAACAGAACCAAAGTGGGAAACAGAGGAGTTTGCCAAACCAGAGTAAAGTCTGCCAAACCAGAGTAAAATCTGGTTCACATGGAATACAGTTGGTGGGGCTGCAGGAGAAAGATTAGAAATAGAAGTGTGTACAATGACACATAGGAATGTATTAAAGCTTGGAAGGATCAGGTGGAGTAGGGCCAGTCAAGAGCAAATAATGATAAGTGGAGACAATGACAGTAAGTGAGAGGGAGAATTTTTGTTTGATGGGAGCTGAGTATTTGGAAAAAGGTCAGGAAAAAGGTTTAACATTGTTTTATTTGCAGTATTACATTACATTGGTGGAATCAGCATCAAGCTAGGGTTTAACTTACTTGTTTCACACACATCTTCAGGGTTTATTTTCTGCATCACCACCAGAATTAATTAGGGAGACTGATCATGTATTGACACACAATCCTCAAAATCAAAACATCTGCTTGTCCATTTTATGTGCAAACAATAGAATCAATCATATTGAAAAGGGGATGTAGGTGTAAAAGGGAAAGGTAAGTGAGGACTTTGTTTTAATTGACTCCTGAATGCATGCATATTCTTTGGCTCTATCTCAAAGACAACATATTTAGATATTGTCAAATGCTTTCATGGCCAGAATCATTGGGTTGTTGTAGGTTTTTCAGGCTGTATGGCCATGTTCTAGAAACACTCTCGCCTGATGTTTCGCCTGCATCTGTGGCAGCCATCCTCAGAGGTTGTGGGGTTTGTTGGAAACTAGGAACATTGGGTTTATATATCTGTGGAAGGTCCAGGGTGGAAGGAAGAACTCTTGTCTATTGGAGCTAGGTGTGAATGTTTCAATTGGCCACCTTGATAAGCATTTGATAGCCTGACAGTTTTTAGGTGTGGCTTGTTACTGCCAGGGAAATTCCTATGTCGAGAGGTGATTAGATGTTCCTAATTGTTTCTTGTCTGGAGTTCTTCTGGACCACATGAACAGCATCCACCCAAACATCCAATTCACCATGGCAAAAGAAAATGAAGAAAAGCTGCCATTTCTAGATGTTTTAGTCATCCGTAAACCAGATCAACAATTGGGTCACACAGTTTACAGAAAATGTACACACATAGATAGATACCTACATAAAAACTCCAACCATCACCCAAGTGAAAAAAGAAGCACCATTATAGCCCAGGCACACCATGCAAAAAGAATCTGTGAACCCCACCTCCTCCAAGATGATCTGGACCACCTAAACTTGGCTTTAAAGACCAATGGATAGTCCCTCAGACATCAAAAGAGCTGCAAGACCAAGAACAAACCATGAGAGTAAAGACAAAGATCAACCCAGAGGGAAAGTGTTCTTACCATACATACATCAAGGGAACCACTGACCGCATAGGGAAGCTGATGAGGAAAGACAACATACAAACTATCTACAGACCCACTAAGAAAATCCAACAAATGCCACATTCAGCAAAGGACAAGAGGGATCCTCTCACCTCTGCAGGAGTCTACCATATACCATGCACCTGTGGACAACTCTACATAGGGACCACCAAATGCAACGCCCAAACACGAATCAAGGAACATGAAAGGCACTGCAGACTACTTCAACCAGAGAAGTCAGCCATAGCAGAGCACACGATGAACCAACCTGGACACAGCATATTATTTGAGAACACAGAAATGCTGGACCACTCTAACAATTACCATGTTGGGCTACACAGAGAAGCCATTGAAATCCACAAGCATGTGGACAATTTCAACAGAAAGGAAGAAACCATGAAAATGAACAAAATCTGGCTACCAGTATAAAAAACTCTAAAATTATAACAGTAAATGAAAAAAACCCCAAAACTCAAACACAGGAGAACTCCAAACAAGAAACAATCAGGAACACCTAATCACCTCTCAACATAGGAATTTCCCAGACAGTAAGAAGCCACACCTAAAAACTGTCAGGCCATCAAATGCTAATCAAAGTGGCCAATTGAAACATTCACGCCGAGGTCCAACAGACAAGAGTTATTTCTCCCACCCTGGACCTTCCATAATGTTCCTAGTTTCCAACAAACCTCACAACCTCTGAGGATGGCTGCCACAGATGAAGGCAAAATGTCAAAAGAGAATGCTTCTAGAACATGGCCATACAACCCAAAAAACCTATAACAACCAAACATATTTCGGGTTTTTTTATATCGGGTTTGCACACATGCAGGAGTGCATGGAGATGCATGTGTGGGACTCGACTGTGCATTCAGCTGCACAATGTTTCCCAATCAACATAATGGTTGTGTGAAACAATGTGTGATTCCACATAAATGAATGAATGCTATGTAACCCTAAGGTGGAATTTTGGCCACCAAGTTTAGGAAAGCAGGTTGACTTCCTGTGTTCATGGGGCTAATCTGTCCTTGTTGTGTGCCTTCAAGTTGTTTCCTACCTATGGTGTGCCTAAGGTAACCCCATCATGGACTATTGTTGGCAAGATTTGTTCAGAAGACATTTACCATTGCCTTCTGAGGCATGGAGAGTATGATTTGCCTGAGGCCAGAGAGTGGATTTCATGACCAAGTGGAAATTTGAATCTGAGTCTCCAAAGTCATATTTAGCCAGTTTCAGCATGGGCCTCATAAATACATTATCACAAGTGCTTTTTTATTCCCTCTAAAATCTGTGTTAATTTAAGTTTATACATGGTAGGTTATAAAGCTAACAACATAGCCATCTACAATACTCATATGTTGTTTTCAAATTCCTCTCATCACAAAATAACTTAATAAAGTTTCTCTTCTGAAAAGCCCGAAGCAAAAAGACTAAGCAAAGTAACATTTTTCTCCCTAAGCAACAACTGTATGTTTTCATTACACTGTACTATTGATTAAAGTGACTTTCAAATTATGAAGTTAAAACACCAACAAAAACATATCTTCCCTCTAAACTGGATTCTTTCAGTTTTATAAGACTTTAAATAGGTTTTTAGCTGAACTTGGTGAGGGAAAGAGAAGAGCAGAGTAACTTGCTTTAGTTTACAGATTTCTTTTGAGAAAAAAAATAGTTTCCCGGGTGAGATCAGCACCAGAAGAGGAAGCAAACTCAGGTGCTTTTGAAAAAAAATCTAGAAGGAATAAGTGGTAAAGAGCACAATGGGAAGATTAGCATGGGCACATTTCATTGTTATTAAAAGATATTTCCTGGCTGCCAACAGATTGCAAATCTGAAATCATACTACTGGTTATGACCTTTAAGGCTCAGTGCATATTTAATCTGCCTATTGTATTCAAACATCCACAGCTCGATTTTTTAATCCAAAAAACAAGCTTTGATTTTGCCATTTTATGAAACAGACAACATTTTACTAGGCCACTGCAATATACGGTGATATAATGGGACTTGAACTTCCATAGATTTTGGTATCCACAGGGCATCCTGGAGCCAAACCCCAGAGAATACCAAGGGCCCGCTGTATTGCAAACCACAACAAAACTGTGTAGAAATCATGTAACACTGCCCTTAAAACAATTGCACTGGTTGCCAGAAGATTTAAAGACCTGATGGCAATAATCAAAGAATTAAGCAACTTTGAATCTCAGTACTTCAAGCAACGGTTCTGCCTATATATACTTGAATGAGGTCTGTGTTTCCCATGAGTGAGAGGAATACACTTTGGAGAACATGGAAGAGGGCCTTTGCTGCTGTGGTATTAAAGTTGTTGCATGCCCTCCCATTGGGCACTAAACTGTTTGACCAAGGCATTATTCTGGCAACAAGTTCAAACATGGATTTTTATTGAAGATAAAGCTTTGGGTGCCTAATTGGTTTATTCTAGAGTAGACATTTACATAGTTTTAAACTCCTTTAATCTTTTAACCTGTTTAAATTTGATGACCTGTTATTAGCCTGTTTAAACAAACTTGTAGTTTCTGAATTGTTTAAAAGTGCTTAAACTGGTTTTAATCCTATGACACTTTGAGATGTCATGATATAACTATTTTAAGACTCTAATAAATCCTCATTGGGGTAGGGATTTTTTTAAGGGGGGACAGAACACATTGATGCCAATGAAGTGTTCTTTTTTGTTACAAGATAGGGAAGAGGAGGGAGAAAATGCAGGGCAACAATGTTAAGAGATTTATCTACACACAGGTAGATAAATCTAGATAAATGGTAGGAGATTTATCTACGTCTAGTGGCTCTTATCCAGATTGTAGGCATGTGTTTATGAGTAGACAAAAAAGGAAAAGAAAATCCCACTATGTATGTGCTTTCAAGTAGACACCGTGAACTGATGTCAATACCATGAATTTCGTAGGGGTTTCTTATGCAAGGAAGACTCAGAGGAGGTTTTGCCAGTTCCTTCCACAAGTTACATATTAACTATAGTATGGGAGCTGTATTTTAACATTTGAATCTTTACAGGCTCTAGTTTGGCATAGTTATCCAACAAAATCTTGTTTTCATGCCCATCTTTGATGATTCTTAGGGATGCCTCTGCATTGGCTCTACTAGTTTATATAAATTGTTTACTACCTTCAATCTCTGGTTTACTGCAAATTCCCTTGGAAAAGATGGAGTAAGCATACTTCAAATAGTTATTTATGTACTTTAGTGAATGAGAAGTATAATTTACACAAGGGAATCTGTATGCCCACTGTAGCAAATGCAGAATACTAGATCAGTGTTTTAATGCAACCTTAACCCATAACAGAAGAGGCACTCCCAGAATGAAGACAGCACAGTGCAACATTTGATACAAGCTGATCAAACCCCAACTAAAAAGTGTAATGACACTACAGTGTTTAAATTTCAAATAAACTAAATCTTCTTGATTAATTTTAGTTTGTGCACCAAAACCAAAGTTTCCATTATTCTAAGACCAATAACATTTATACTTGCTTTGTACAACATTTTGTACTAATTACCATTAGTAATTGGTAAATACTTTGGCACATAAAGGTAACTAAGAAAGGTATAAATTAACAGTGCAACCCAATGTATGGTCTACTCAGAAATGAACACTGTTGAAGTCAGTATAGTTTGCTAACAGAAGGGGGTTATAGGATTGCAGTCTATGCTTATGTACATATAGGAACAATTGGTGCTTTCAAGGATAGGTTTTTCAATTTGTAGAATACATTGGCTGCATTATCAGAGAAGGAAGACATGTGTACCTAAACTTGTTTTTGATTTAGCTTTCAATAATTTACCAACCAAGCATGACCACTAGGTGACTGGAAGATTCCTACAGTTGTAATCCAAAAACATAATTTTTTCAAACTCCAGCAATTAGCTACAAGAGACTGAAAATCAGGAGTTCATTTTCCCATGTATCTTCTTTTACACATCCTTCAAAAATATAATTTCTGTATTTCTTTGATGCTAAGATATATTCCCCCCCCCCATATGAACATCTACAAAATTGGGTTTCATTTTAGAATGATGGTGAGATAGATAGAAATATATATTCATTCTGTTCGTGGTACTAAAATTAGTGTCAGCATTCCAATCAATGGTACCTTACAATCAAAGAAATGTTATATAGACAGTTAGATACCCATTATTTGACAACACTTCAACCTATCTCACAAACCAAATTTATATCAATCATGAGTAAAACTGCAGTGTAATTTGAACAGAAATAGTGACATGAAATAGGGCTGGGCGGTTTCGTTTCGTTAATTCGTAATTCGTTAATAATTCGTTAATTTTTCCAATTACAAAACGATAACGAACCATTCTGGAGCAATTATTTAAAAAAACGAATTTTCAAAAACGTTTTGTAAATGCTTCGTATTTCGATATTGTATTCGTTTCGTTATTGTTTTGAGGTCGTTTCGTTATTATTTCCGCATGTCTGGGCCAGTTTTATGGTTTAATTAGTGAAAAAAAATTATAATATCACACCAACAGTCAACAACAGAGGGAGAGGGAAGCTTCAGAAGTTCCCCCTGTCCCATTTGGAGGTTTTTTAGCGTATTTCGCGGTCGCGTCCGCCATTAACGAATCGATTCGTTATTGTTTCGGAAATCGATTCGTTAATTTTTTACCATTTACGAAATTTCGTAAATATCGAACTTTTTAAAAGGAAAATTTTGTAATTATTTTAAATAACGAAACGCAAAAACCCCCAAAAAACGAATCGATTTTAGAAACAAATTTTTCCGTTGTTACCCAGGCCTAACATGAAATGAGATAAGAGAACCTTTCAAAAGCTGATAGTTTCATTTTAAGGAAATGGAGTCATCTTAAACATTGATAAAAATTCCAATAAGAATATTATTTTAAAAGAGTGCTGAGCAAGAGGATGCAGTAAAATATCACCTTAGCTGCAAAGCACTATCATTAAAATGGTACTTTATCAGCAATCCTTTTGACCAGCAAAGGGAATGTTCTTTGCTTGTCAACATTTGTTTCCTTCCGAACAAAGAAGCCAATTTATTGAGTATGAATAAGCTTGTTATAATTTACTCCACATTTCTCCACGCTATTAAAACTCGATGAAATACATGATAACAATGACATAACCATTAAGTTTACATCCTCAATTGTCTACTGGCCTGCTAAAGATAGTACACAATGAGAAATCCTTTAATTTTTACTATACTTACAGATGTAATATTAGTGAGATGAGGAATGAGAAGGATTTAAGATTGCAGTGTGAGAACAATTTTTATTGTCAATTTGTGACTGTTTGGAAATAAAAAAACATTAATATAAGATGAAAGAGATTAACTAAAACACTTTAGGGTCACTTTACCCATTTTCATTAAGAATGATAATGAAAGGAAATTTGAGAGGCCTAATCACCAGAAATGTATGACTGACTGAGCAATTTTTAACTAGTAGACTGCACCTAGAAAAGCATTTTTAGATATGAGCTCCTGCTTTAACCTTCAGTCTCCCTTTTCCCATTCACTTTCAAGCAGAAAGACATAATGGCACCCCTTTCATAGGGCACACATTCATTCTCTCTCGCTCGCTCTCCCTCTCACCTCTTTCCTGGCCCGCAGGACTTGTTTCTCCAGTTCCTCAGGTATCATCTTACCTCTATGGGACACAGATTTAAAACTTTTCAGTTATGTTCAAACAGGTTACACTTACAGCACTACTGCATTTTAAAAGGAGCAACCGACTTCAGTGGTTATGGTTCCCTTACCTTTCATCACTTTTGATGAAATACACATTTTGTGTGCCAATTCCCAAAAACGATGCTGCCTTCTTCACAGAGTAATGACACTATAAAAATGCAAGGGGTGTGAAACAGTAAATTAAATAAGAAATTAACAATGGACATATCATTGAAGAGATTTCCTTAGGCAAGAAAGCTGCAAATGCTATGTTTAAAAAAGGTAAAAGCCCAACTTCAAGCATGGAATAGCAAAGCAGGCACTCTTTATATTCACTCTTTTCAAAGTGAAAGGCAATACTGAGCTTTTTGAACTGAAATCTAATCAAACTTGTAATGGAGGGATTTAAACCAAAATTCTCATTTTGCTCCCATAATGAAGACTTTTGCCTTCAACAATTTCATGTCTCTATTCTTGATACGTCCAGTTATTTGTTTTCACTTGTAAAGAAGAGTAATATTAGGATGCCGATTAGTAAAACATCCTTTCATGAACTCATCCACTGGCTACAAATGTAGAGCAATTCCCTATGGTGAAACAGTCCTTGTTCATTTATAGACTTCCTAAAAGTAGCGATATGAGGTAGACTTCCATAGTATATGATCCACCTTGACCAGTGATGGCAAGCCTATGGCCCCGATGCCAGAAGGGGCATGCAGTGCTCTCTCTCCTGGCAAGCATGCCATTGTCCACCCCTGTTCACTCAAATGTTGGCCCACCTGCTCGTTCACCAAGCAACACTTGCTCACCCACCCCCACTTGCTCGTTTGCCCACACACACACACACACACACACATCTTGTTCACTTGCTTGCTCGTTTGCCTGCACCCCTTGTTCACTTACCTGTTTGCTCAGCTGCCTCTTGCTTGCTGACCTGCCCCCGCTTGCTTGCTCTCTTCCCTCGTTCGCTTGCTCACCTGATTGCCCACCCCCCTTGCACACTTACCTGCCTGCCTGCCTGCCTGCTTTGCTCACTCACCTGTCCCTGCTTGCCTGGCCCCCCACTTGTATACTTGCCCATTTGCCTGCCCCCTTGCTCACTCACCTAATCACTCACCCACCCCCACTTGCTCATCCACTTGCTTGTTCTTCCCTCCCATTCGCTTGTCCACCTCGGCTTCTGCTCAATCACTTGCCTACCCCTGCTTGCTTGCTAACCTCTCCCCCCGATTGCCACCCTCATTCTGTAGCTCAAAAACAGTCACAGTAGCCAGGTTCAGGTGGCTTCACTGCTGACTTAGAGTCAGAACGATTGTGGGCTTTCCTGGGATTCATTACAATGCAGGCCCAGAAAAAGAAACCATTTCAGATAGGGATGCAGGCACAGATACAGGGCCTGATAATTGCCTCTGAACTTCAAGGCCAGTCACGGGAGTTGGAATCATCCCCCTTGCTTTTCTTTCCTCTTCCTGCTTCCCCTTTTGTCCTAGTCTTACTTCACCTGCTGAAAGCTGAGCTCACAGTTCAAAAGCAATTTGCACTCAGCAGAGGGAAGAGAATAGTAGCAGTAGGCTTAGCCAGTGTTTCTCAACCTGGGGGGGGGGGGGTGTCAGAGGGGTCACCAAAGACCATCAGAAAACACAGTATTTTCTGTTGGTCATGGGGGTTCTGTGTGGGAAGTTTGGCCCAATTCTATCATTGGTGGGGTTCAGAACGCTCCTTGATTGTAGGTGAACGATAAATCCCAGAATCTACAACTCCCAATTGTCAAAGTCTATTTTCCCCAAACCCCATCAGTGTTCACATTTGGGCATATTGAGTATCCGTGCCAAGTTTGGTCCAGATCCATCACTGTTTGAGCCCACAGTGCTCTCTGGATGTAGGCGAACTACAACTCCCAAACTCAAGGTCAAGGCCCACCAAACCTTTCCAATATTTTCTGTTGATCATGGGAGTTCTCTGTGCCAACTTTGGTTCAATTCAATTGTTGGTGGGGTTCAGAATGCTCTTTTTTACAAGTTAACTATAAATCCCAGCAACTACAACTCCCAAATGAAAAAATCAATCCCCCCCCCCCCCCCCCGGCCAATCCCACCAGTATTCAAATTTGGGCATACCGGGTATTTGTGCCAAATTTGCTCCAGTGAATGAAAATACATCCTGCAGATCATTATTTACATGGTGATTCATAATGTTAGGGTTATGGTTGGGGGTCACCACAACATGAGGAACTGTATTAAGGGGTTGCGGCATTAGGAAGGTTGAGAACCACTGGCTTAGGCAAAACTAACTGCTGCAGCATTTCCCAGCTTGTTTGTTCTTCCTTGTTAATAAATTTTGCATTCTTGACCACACTCTGATATTGCTTGGTCACCCATGTTACTTGCTATGGTCACTGCCACTATGCAGCCCCCCACTTTCCCCATACAACCAGGTGCAGCCCTTGGCTAAAAACAAATTGCCCACACTTGTTATAGACAAAATGGGATTCAACTGCAGGGATTAATTTGTGACCAGGAGAAATTAACTTTTGAATAGGCCCCAATCATTATAACTTCCTATATGTAACAACATGTGTGAAATGATCACACATACACTAACATTAATCTCTGACTTAGCAGGAAATCCTAAAAGGTAGCTCTAGAATGTTCAGTATGTGACAAGAAAAACCGATATAAATTGACTAACTTTAATGGAACAATAAATATTGTCTATATTTATTATGTTATTTATATGTTATTTCGGGCCATATAACCCGAAAAAACCCACAAGAACTGAGAAATATTGTCTATACTTTAGAAAATGAAACAGAAACCAGAGTCAGTTCTTAATGTTATGTGAGGGTTAGATTAATGCATTTTCTGACAACTCGGGGTGTATGTGCCTTAAATTGTTTCTTTGAATATTGCAGATGAAACCAGGTGGTTAATTAATTTGGTTTTCTCCCAGAGAGTTCACACAAATGCAGTTACCAAGGAATATAATTATGTAAAATCTACAGTACTTTAATGTGTATGTATGAATATATTATGGGTATTCAAAGCTGTCACTTTTTTATGAAATGGATCACCGCAGAATGTCACTCCCCTTTTTACAAAAAAGTATTCTCCTCTTTTTAAACTAACTGCACAGAATATACTATCAGCCACCATCAGCCAATCTTTTCAAACACGACACATTAACAAAGCCTTTAGAATTCATTCACTCAGACTGTTGTGTGAATAATAACATACATAGGTAGATAATTAATCTTCTGTTACATTGAATTACATCAATAATGGGATACGTGTGCAGAGCCACAATGTACCATTCACTAGAGATTTGGACACTGGCAGCAGAATTTCATTTGAATTACAAGTGATTCCAACAAAATAGCTCCTTATTAGTACACTAACAGTCACCTATTAAGCTCAGTTGAAAAGCGTGTGACATTGAATTATTGGGGGAAATGTCAAACCTCTCAGGGCTCAGAAAACAATAGCTCAGCAAACTCTACAAGATGGCAAACAAAGGCAAAGCACGGAAACATAGTTCTTGCTGTGAGCTGTATCTGAACAAGAGAAGATTACAAATAAGGGTCCAAGACCCTTGACTGATTTTGCCTTATTTTAACAAGTGCAGTGCAGACATCATGGTAGAATGTAGTTAATGCAAAAGCAAAAGGGGGATCACAAGTATGAAGCATGTGAACAGTTGCAGAGTGTGCAACCCTAGGTTCAAGGAGATATGTTTTTGTTGCAATTAATCATGTTAGCACCTTTGAGACTAAGTGGGAAGAAGAAATTTCTAGAACAGTGGTTCTCAACCTGTGGGTCCCCAGATGTTTTGGCATTCAATACCCTAACATCTAGTAAACTGGCTGGGATTTCTGGGAGTTGTAGGTCAAAACACCTGGGGACTCACAGGTTGAGAACCACTGTTCTAGAACAAGAATTCACGGACAAATGCTTATGCTAGAAAGTTCTTCCTCCCTGTTAATCTCTAAGGTACTACTAGATTCACTGTGGGCTGCATTAGCTCCTCAGAAGACTTTAGAGAGTCAACCTACCTCACTACACATGTACATCTCAAAAATAAAATTTGTCCCCAAATGCTCTGTGAGTATAGGAGGCATTTCCCCATGTTTTAATGTATGCCTTCTGCCATTTTAGGACCACAAAATGCCTTTAAAAAAAACAGAAGCAAACAGAAGATACATGTGTTTACTTCCTGTTTCAAAAAAGGCCTCTCCTGGATCTAAATTGACTCAAGGGGCCAAAATGTGGAAAATGGCTTCAAGTCCTGGAGGGGATGCTGAAGGGTACCAAAAAACCCTGGGAGTACACAGGCTATAATTGATCCATTCTCTTTTTATGCTAAAACAATCTAAAACGGCTCTGATTAGTGAGCACACATTTTCCTTATATCTGAATGTATGCTAAGTCACTGAAATTTATGTATCAAATAAAGGGAAAGAGTCACTCCTGTTATTTATTAGAAACTGAAGTAGGCAATTACAAATGATTTGTCATGGGAAATGCAAATTGCCATTTAAATCCAATAGTCAAAGTGCAGATCGTACCACTTAAATTAGACAAAACAGCAAATCCTAGTCAACCATTTCTGTTTAATTCTGGGCTGGATTGTTCCCTCAAAATCAGGCCCAGAAGTAAATCGAAATAATAGCAAATAATAACAAAGTTGTTATCATCATTTTTAGGGAGATATAATTTTCATTATCAATTCAGTAAACAGTAACCATTAAGAAAAGGAAGTGTTTTCAAATACAAAAGAGATGCTTTGATTCTGTCATTGCCATTTAAAAAACAACAACTCTGAAATGAGTGTGAAATAGTTTTGCTTTAATTTAAAACAGCATGTCTCCTCTACATGATGAGTAAAAGAGATTAAAAAATAAATAAATATTTTCTTCACTTTGTCCTCTTGCTGTAAAAAAGTTACCTGCCAGTGAAAGGATTGTATAAAGAAAGAAAATGTAAGGGAAAATACATAGGAAAGATGAAAGGAAAAACCTACGAAGCAGTGATGACTAATGGACTAAAAAAGAGGAGCAATACCTATCTCTGAAATGGAGATAGAGCCCTCTCTCATGAGACAGTCATGCTATGTTGAATTTTCTCAATATTGGCTGGACAAGCAACTAACCTATGAGAGAGTGGTGCTGAAGAACCTAAATTAGTATACTGGAAAGAAACAGTTGGTGAGACAATAGTTGGTGAAAGCACATCAAGAAGATTACACCAAAGCAGCTGATAGAAAGATATCGCCTATAACTTCATATGATTTTTAGAAGCCTTGCTAACTAAATTCAGCCCAATTCATAATCCCAAAGGTCAATCTAAAATCCAATAAATCCAGTCAATTTGTTTAGAGTTGCTTCTTCAACTCACAGGTTCTGGAAAACAATTTTGGTTCTAGCTTTGTTTCTCTAGACCAGTGGTTCTCAGCTTTTGGTCCTCTGGGTGTTTTGGACTTCAGCTCCCATAGCGGGTAAGCTGGCTGGGATTTCTGGGACCAAAACAACAGGAGGCCCAAAGGTTGGGAACCACTGTAGATGTATCTTTTTAAGCTGACAATAACATCATTTTTCTGGGAGTTTTCCCTCTTGCAAAACACTTTATTTTTACAATAACAGGAGTGAAAGTTATATTACCTCATCAGATGTCAACACAACCAGTCGAGGCATCCCTGAAAGCCCCTGTTCCTTTATGTCAGGGCAGTATTTGTATCTGGCCAAGTTCATTGCATACATGTTGGAAACAGAGCCGCCTGGAGGGTGAAGGACAAGGAGGGATAATGATACACAAAATAACCATAATTAATGTTTTATCTTAGATGCTGGTTGACTGAAATTGTCCCAAACAGTCAAAGGATGGGAAAAAATCCTTTCTAAGTAAGTACTCTTTCTGGTTTTCCAAAAGTCAAAGAATTTCCACAATGGGTTAAAAAGTTTTAAACCTAATTTTAAATTGAAATAAATAAATCCTGGTATTGAGCTTAATTAGCCCCCATACAGCTTTGGTACTTATATAATGGATCACATACGCATGAAGAAGACCGTAGGATGCAATAAATAAGATAGATTGTTGCCCATGCTCTCCCACTGTCCACAGAATTGAAGGAACATGCCAAAACTTTGAAATATAAATAGATTTCTTTTAATTATAACTAACATGTTGCTGAAAGGGGGGCACCTCTGTGAAGAACAGCAGGTGTTATCTAGATATTGCCTAAGGCCTACTATTGTAATGATTCAAAACAAGGGTTGATATTAGTGCATACTAGCACATATTATTAGTAGTCTGAAATTAGAAGGGATATGAGAAGAATAAATAGCAAGATAATCTTACCTGGATTAAATATACCATCACCTTCTTCCCAGCCAATAAATTCAATCATCTTCTTTAGGACTGCTTCTTCCACTAGCAAAAAAACTGGGGACACTTCATAGGTGTACCTGAATAAATAGATATGTGACATAAAAGGCAACTATGTGAGTCATGTTGTGATCAAATGAATTGAAAATAAATAAAAAGGCAAGTGGAGCAAAGAGCATGATTATGAGTGCATTATAGCTATATAATAGATCCCTTTCCTGACTGGATAACTGCAACCAAGCCCACATAAGGACAACAACAGCCATGGGAATGTGATAAGGACACACACACACACAACGAGGTATATTTATTTATATCTCGCTTTATCTCTTCCAAAGGGGACTCAAAGCAGCTTAACATGAAAGCATCACATAATCATTTAAAATATACAAACATACAAACACTAAAACAGGATTAAATATAAACAGTATTTAAAAATTCCCAGTTAAAAATCAATAAACCAAATTCAAAGTGAAAAACCACAGCACCCCCTGAATTGATCTTAAACACTTTCATTTTTAAAAGCCTGCCTGAATAAAACACTTTTAGTCTGCCGCTGGAAAGAAAGCAGAGAGAGGACCATTATGGCTTCTTTAGGCAAGGAGTTCCAGAGTCGAGGGCCAGCCACCAAGAAGGCCCTTTCTCTCGTTCCCACCAACCAAGGTTGAGATGGAGGTGGGACTGAGAGAAAGGCCTTTCCTGAAGATCTCAGGGCCTGGGCAGGTTCGTACAAGGGGATGCAGTCAGCCAAATATTCTGGACCTGAACTATCTACAGTGTTAAAGGTCAAAACCAGCACTTTGAATTGTGTCTGGAAACAGACTGGCAGCCAGTGGAGCTGCTGCAACAGGTGGGTTGTCCATTCCCCGTAGCCAGCCCCAGTGAGCAACCAGGCTGCAACTCTTTGGACCAGCTGAAGTTTCCGAGCACTCTTTCTCACAGGCGACTGGGACCCAAGGTGGCTAAGACACAAGATCTTCTAATTTATGCTGGTCCCTGAAACATGGATTTCCGGGGTTCCACATTTAAACATTTCCATCATTTTTTTTTACATTCTACAGTAGATTATTGTAACTGCCAAGGTTTAATTGCTACAATGGTCCTCTTGGGGCCTTGGTAAATTATATAATTCCACTCTACACCCACATCTGAAAATTTGTTTTCCTTTTGAAAAAAAATAGCTCTCCGTGCCCTCTCAAGAACCTGAAGGAGAATTTTATCACTTTATGTACTTCTATGCTGCTAAACAATAAGCAATCCTGATGAGTTTTATTATCTTCAGTTTAATACATTATTTTGTGAACACACACATATATATCCCTTGGATTGTTATAATATTGCTAAGCTGTTTAGTTATAAAGTCAGAATGTGGTAGCAATGGAAACACAAATTGGGTTGTTATCTTTAGTGGGCAGTAATAGGACAGAAGAAACGAAATCTCACATAAAAGTTCCCTAATATGGTTGTCGCAAGAGATGGACAAGGGTTAACATGTGCGTTCACAGATAGTGGCAGTAGTTCAGAAAGCTAAATGAGAATTTTCACCTAAGTGGTGGTTGAGTAGCAGAGGGACCAAGCAAGTGGAAAGAGTTGCCTGACATGTGATGACAATGGCAGGACAAGTAAACTCCCCACAGCCTGCCTGAGACACATGGCAGTCTTAAGCTACTCCTAACATGATAGTTTCACTACAGAAGTCCTACTCACTATAGAGGTCCCTAGCTCAAGAAAACAGATTGTTGAGAAGCAGAGTGGGCAGTAGACCAACACAAAACCTATTTTTTTCTGTTCAATTATTATTCCCATAATTTGAATCTAAGACAGGTCTATTTATTGAGTAGGTGAAAAGACTACATGTGCAGATAGATCACTAGAGAGAAAAATCACTTTTCTGTATAGACCAAAATGTGGTATATAAGGCAAGAATGAAAATTTAAAAAGTAATAAATACACTTAAATGGGTCTGTCTAATCAGGCGTAAGATAAGGGTTTTTCTGCATCTTTACTTTAATGTTTACATACAGTTTATAATAAGGCAAGGGAAGTTTAATGTATACAGCATTGATCAATGTTATTAAAATGCATGGAAATCTACAGGAAGCAGGACCTGTCACAGTGAAACACCATTCAAGACTTGGCAGCATGATTTAAACCAAAAATATACTTACACGCTTGGGTTTAATGCTTCTGTAATGAAACGTGCTGCTAAAGAATAATAATCAATTCCAGCATACAACTGATTGAAAAATCTTGGATGATCTGTAAATAGCAACAAAAAGACACACATTTTATTGGACTGTAGGTGCACTAATCCGAAAGAACATTTGCTTGCCTCTTCCTCATCAATGCCAAAAGACATATCAACAACTTAAAAACTGGGACAAGAGAATCTGGCTGTTTGCAAAATAAAGTTTTTTTGTAGATAACTTTAAAAGCCTGCCTCTGCTATATAGAAAGTATCTTAAGTCACATTTATTTCAAAAGGATTAATCAAAGCGTAACACTCATCCTCATATTATACTTTGATTTTTTTTTTGAAAAAATAGTATCTGTGTTACTTCCTTTCCTTTTTCCTGTGGAAGATCAATTCTGCCACTCAAAATACTGCAATCCATAGATTATCATGGACCCCTTTGGTGGTGCAGCGGGTTAAACTGCTGAACTTGCTGACCAAAAGGTCAAAGGTTCAAATCTGGGGAATGGGATGAGCTCCCACTTTTAGGCCCAGCTTCTGCCAACCTAGAAGTTCAAAAACATGCAAATGTGAGTAGATCAATAGGTACCGCTTCTGCGGGAAGGTAATGTCACTCCATTCAGTCATGCTGGCCACATGACCTTGGAGGTGTCCACAGAAAATGCCAGCTCTTCAGCTTAGAAATGGAGATGAGAACCACACCCCAGAGTCAGACAAAACTAATCTCAATTTCAGGGGAAACATTTACCTTTACTATAGATAATCATATATTAGGATATTATTTGCACACTATGAGAAAATTGTAAGTATACTATATGGTTAGAAGCATTTTACTCAGGGAAAACTATATTTAATAAACTTCATTGTTTCATTCCACCATATCCAATGCACAAACTGGTTACTTAAGAATGTTGAGAGGCACCTCTGGAAAATTATTTTGGATGGTTTATATATTGACCTTCATTTGATTACAAAATAAATTTGGAAATGTCTTCCCTATATATATATATTTCAAACTTTCTACAGCTCCCTTTAGAGACACAGAAGAAACTAAGAAGGAAGAAAAATTAAAGCCAGATTCTTTTGCCTTACATGAGAATAGCTCTAGGTGCTTGCACAATAAATAAAAAAGCATCAATACTGAAGAAGGATATATTAAGGCACTCTAGCAATTCTGTGATAAAAATGGGTTGAATCAGATCCAAAGCTACCACCTTGATCAAGTTTTAAGACATTCCACAGAATGTTTAACAGAACATCATGGGCTACTAGAGAATGTTATATCTATATAAATAAAAAGGTAATGTTTGTTTGTGGGATTAACAGAACTCAAAAACCACTGGACGAATTGACACCAAATTTGGACACAAGACACCTAACAACCCAATTTATGTCCTTCACTCAAAAAAAAAAGATTTTGTCATTTGGGAGTTGTAGTTGCTGGGATTTATAGTTCATCTACAATCAAAGAGTATTCTGAACCCCACCAACGATGGAATTGAACCAAACTTGGCACACAGTTCTCCCATGACCAAAAGAAAATACAGGAAGGGTTTGGTGGGCAGTGTCCTTTGGTTTTGGAGTTGTAGTTCACCTATATCTAGAGATCACTGTGGACTCAAACAAGGATGGATCTGGACTAAACTCTACACAAATACTCAATATGTCCAAATGTGAACACTGGTGGAGTTTGGGGAAAATAGAATCTTGACATTTGGGAGTTATAGTTGCTGGGATTTATAGTTCACCTACAATCACAGAGCATTCTGAACCCCACCAACGACAGAATTGGGCCAAACCTCCCACACAGAACCCCCATGTGGGCCACAGCAATGCGTGGCAGGGGACGGCTAGTTAATAATAATAATCTTTATTTGTACCTCACCACCATCTCCCCAATCCCATATTCTATTGTATGAACCACCCTCTCATAAAGGCTGGCTCATACAATCTGTACTCCATGTTGTTCTAATATTCATGCCATTATCCAAGTTATCTCCTAAATATTAAATCAATGTCTTCCTACATATACAAACAGAATTTTCTTACTGGAGTTTCATTCAGTCTCCAATTCAAAAACCTCTTTCTCTCCTCAAAGTTAAAGTCATGGGGTTATGATCAGGAAAAAGTCTTACGTAAAATATTCATTTTCTAATGTCTCAAGAAAGATCTGTATTTTTCTGGGGGAAAGTATACTCTTTAAAATCTCTGTATTTAAATCTCCATGCCTCTACCAATCCCCAATCACACATTAAGTTAAAATAAAGATGTGGGAGAATTGACTTGAACCTATATGCTCCCCCTTCATTCCTCTATTCCCCTCATAGATAATGGCTTCATTATGGTTCTTGTTTTGATTAACCCAGACTTCTTTGTTGCAAACAGAAAATGTAATTGTTTAATGGTTGTGAAATAATTTAAATAACAAGCTAAAAGGGAAACTGTTTGGAGATCAGGGCCCTGACACTTATTTCTAGCTTCATAAACCACAGTTTACTTAAGCCAGAATGATAAGCCTGAATTCAAGTTTCACCTAGATATGCCACATACAGCTTTCTTGTGAAATGTAATAGAAAATAAGGAATCTAAAAAAATGTCTTCCATTTTGCCCTACAATAAAAGAAAAAAGGTCCCATGCTACAAAAGTCTGCTTGGTGGAATGTCCAGTATCTTATGGATAAAAATCATATAGATGTATGAGTCTTACTGGTTTTGACACTGAATTTTATAACATCCCGACAGAACTGCAAGAGTTTCTGATGGCTCTCTCCAGTGTCTTTCAATTCCAAATCAAGAAGAGCTTTCAGCTTCTCAGGAGGCTGCCATTCACATACCTAATCATGAGGGGGAAAACAAAGTCTGTAGAAATAAATGCTTTTCAAGATGGAAAATATTAAACATGATCAGATCATTTTAAAAATTGAACTGACTGTTTTGAAAATGTAAAAATTGTTGTTCTAACATTTCAGGCTCTTTGCATCTAAAAGACCATATCCATTTTTTTCATCTCTTTCAATTTTCTGCTAAAATAGACTGCTTAAAAATTTTGTCCTCTGGATTACAGATACAAATTAGGCATTGAAACATGGAACTAAATAGTATTTTTAATTTAAAAAATCAGATTCCATATATTCGCAGGTGGGATCTCCATATGATATCCAAGCAGTATTTCTTATTACAGATTCTTCAACTATAATTTTCCTATGGAACTTGCTTTACATACATCTCTCCTTACTGACCATTTCAGTCAGGTACACAAAAGGTGAATTACTAAGTGAAAGAAACAAAAACAAAAGTACTTGCCAATGCTTATCTTTGAGACAAACTACTAGTAGGAGAAAACTGTGCGCCAGACTAGTACAATAAAATTCCTGGTGTAAATTACACATTTTAAATTACTGCCTCTTTCTACCTTTTCTGTTACATCAGCAGCTTTCTTTATCACTTCCTCCATAATGATCTTAGTGGCCTCTTCCACAAACTTCTCTCCTGCTTCCGAGTCTGCAACTGGACCATTTAAAATTACACCATCCACTAAGATTGCATTCTTCCTTCTCTGCAATGTTTCTTGCTGGTTATTTGTTTCAGCTGTAAAGGATGGAAAACAAAATTAAGCCAACAGTATTATTCACAGAATTCTAAAATGTGAAATGTCACCATTATGTCTATATGGAAAGAGACAAGATACTGTGTGGTGAAGATAAGATAAAATATTTGTGAAATATGGACAGGGTATTGGGAGGGGGAAATGAGGGGAGGAGTTTGTAGATTATTTTCAAACCATTAGGAAATAGCTCAAGTAGCAAAGCAGAAAGGAAAAAAATGCACATACACATATATGCACACCCCTTTTTTAAAGGTTTCAAAATTATGCTAACACATTGCAGTGGAAAAATGTGTTGCTTGCTTGTCACCAGCAGTGCTTGTGAATTAACAAATGTTTCTTACATTCCTACAGCCACAGTATGCAATGACTGAAAAAACAAAATCCATAGTACGCAAGGACAGAAAAAGCATTATTACACAGTGACTGAAAAGGTCGAGGAATCATTTTAACACAACCACTGGGTTTGGGGGAGGGGGGTTGTGCTGGAAAAAAATGATTTCTCTGAAACCAAGGTGCTATCTGAGAGAAAGACATTGAAATCACCTTGCACTTCATCACACACATTCTACCCAGAAGCCACAATGGCTGAGAGATTCTGAGAGCAGTAGTTCAAAAAATTAATTTTCCACTCTCTAGAATCTACATACATTGGCTATATTTATGAGGCTGTGAAATTCATGCTCTGATATAACACTAAAATGAGACCACCAAAATGAATCATTCTGTAATGATTCTTGGATGGATCATGATGGTTTCATCCCACATAGAATGCCATCAGTTCAAGGACATTTTAGAGTGATTCAATCCATGCAGATCTTTGTTCACCCTACAAACCCTTCAAGTAGTTTGAGCCTACACACACCAAAAATTGATCTTATGATTCCTCTTTTCAGAATATTTCCCAAAATTCCCACTACATCAGCTTTACAATTTGTTTCACTGCTTAGAGACAGTGAGAAAAAGTAAGATGACTCATAAGAACTTAAGGACTTATATACAAAAGGACATAATCTTGGCAGGTTCTATTTGTCATGCAGGAGTATGAACATATGCTCACCTTATGCATGTTGTGCTTTCATCTCTTGAATGATTTTAATTGATTAGCTTCTATTTAAAACTTATGCTACAGTGAGATTGAAAACAAAGCTGGCTTGAAACAGAAATTTATGTTCTTAGCTTTTTTTAATCTGTTTGTTTTCTCCAATCTCACTCTTCCTACATATTTGTCATGGGAAAAATATCATTTCCCATTCAACAAAGGGACATTTAAATGGTGAGGAGGAGAAACATTATGACAACGATAATGATTTCTTGGTATAAGTCAGTGGTTCTCAACCTGTGTGTCCCCAGATGTTTTGGCCTTCAACTCCCAGAACTCCTAACAACTGGAAAGCTGGCTGGGATTCCTAAGAAGTTGTAGGTCAAAACACCTGGAGACCCACAGGTTGAGTGTGATTAAGGTAGGGATAGGAATAGTAAGGATACAAATAATTACTTTATCTCTTCTCCCACCCATCTCTTCTTTATGCATTGCGGCTTATAGAGGGCTGTGAACCTATTATCACTCATTATTTAGTTGTGTGCACATTATATGGCTGTGGATAAGCAGGGCTCATCAGTAGCACTGCCTCTGCTGTTCACTTTCCCCTGACCTCAGAAGGAAAGGAGAACTAGCTGCTAGTCTCAATTAAATCCTCTGCAATGGGTAGGGGCAAGGAGGCAAATAAATGAATATAAACTTAGGTGAGAGACGGGAAGGCAGAAAATACACAAAAGGAGATGGGCTATGGGTATTCTCTTTGGATGTAAGTGCCAAGAGAAAAAGAGTCTCAAGGAAAGGCTGAGGTTTTCCTGGTCTGCCTGACTATGAATGTCTTATGAGAGAATTGAGAAATGAAAGGGACTTGGAAGGAGCTGGGAAGAAGCCCTACTCCCAGGGAGAAGGCCCTTACCAAGGAGCCAACCACTTCTGCAACCACTTAACAGAAGCTTGCCAAAACCTGTATCCTGAACAAATTTACTAAAACCTGAGGGCCCTTCCACACAGCCCTATATCCCAGAATATCGAGGCAGAAAATCCCACATTATCAGAGTGTACTCAGATAACTCAGTTCAAAGCAGATATTGTGGGATTATCTGCCTTAATATTCTGGGATATAGGGCTGTGTGGAAGGGCCCTGGGTTATAGTTGTTTGAGTATTTGCTGAACTTAAATAAAGTTCCTTTTCCTCTATTTGAGTGGCTCCAGATGTATTTTAAAGCTCAATGGGGATATCTGAGGTACCCCTTCACATGGAGAGTAGACTCCACAACAGTGGTTTAATAATTAATTCTTTGCATTCAGCTGAATTCTAGATGTCCAGTTGTGTGACTAAGGTAGGGCTATGAACAGTAAGGATACAAATAATTACTTTATCCATTCTCCCACCTGTCTCTTCTTTGTGCATTGAGGCTTAAATGTTTCAGAAACCCAGCAACAATTCTATGCAATCACCAGTAATAACCACCAGCACACTCCAGTTCAGATAAAGGTAGCCTCTCACATGCAAAGCCACTGTGAGAAAAAGTGAAGGAAAAAGAAGAGAAAAGCCTCAATATGATCAATGCACATGGTAATTGCATACATACTGGGATGGGAATTATGTGGCCAACTGGATGCCTCTGACTAGGAAATAAACTTACGAATCTCTTGAATCCTCTGATCTTCCCAGTGCAATTTCATTTTGTTAATGAAAACCGTCACCTTCTAAGACCTCTCCATTTAATTGTACTTTTCGTTTCACCTGCCTTACATTTTTAAAAGTCTCAAAAAGCAGTATTTGAAAACCAGAAGTGACTGGAGAGTCCTTTCCAGTTTGAAGAAAATGGCAGTGTGCAACTTGGGGAAACTGGAAGAGCAGAAACAGCTCTTGGATCCTCAATGGCGTCTCACTATAGCTTTATAAGCTATGTAGCAAAAACGGAATGGAAGACGATACTACAAGGCTTAGGAAAACCTAGAAAATAAGGAGGGAGGGAAAACTAATGAGACTCTCTCACACACAAAAATAAACAACTAAAGATTACTTCTAGGAAAAGAGCATATCCTCCATCATTAGAGATGAAAACATCAGTTTCAGATGTAACTGAAATACATGTGGCCAGCAACACAGATTATGCCATAAGTTGGAAGGGGGGAAACTAATAGGACTTACAAAAAAAACAGCCAAAGATTACTTCTAGGAAAAGAGTATAACCTCCATCATTAAAGAGATGAAAACTGAAATACATGTAGCCTACATAGGAGTGCAGTAAAGATGGGAAAAGATATTAATAAGGATGAATAGACACTATACGAGTGACTGCAACACTGTCTATAGGAAACGTCAAAATTCTGCTCCTTCCACTTCTCCCTACTGAGTTGAGAGGAAACTATTTTTGCACTTTGAACTCAGTAACTGAAGTAAGATGAGGACAAAAGGAGAAAGGGGAAGCATGAGAAAAAAACTGGGAAATTTTCAAAACAGCTGAAAAAGTGGGATGGCAAGGGATTAATTGGTATTGTCCCTGCCAACTGCGACAGTCAAAGGGTATGAAAGTGTTATCAAGAAAGACCATGGCAAGAAGCTTTCTTGTACAGAACTTCATAATAAGATATTAATGTCAAACAAAACTAGTCAGCACTACCACTAGTGCTGGTGATGGAGTGAGGTTTAGGCTGTCTAGAGTGGATACTGCTGACATGGAATTTACCAGCTTCTCCTTATGAATAATTAGGTGGCAGGAGAGTAGAGTAACATTGCTCAAATATCTTAATGTCCATACATTACTTTTTCAGATACTCGAATCCCTATATCAAAAAGATGTGGAATAAGTTGGGGGAGGGGAACAGGGACATAATCAACATTATAGCATATTTTATTTATCTTATTTTATTCATAGCCAGCCTTTCTCCCAAAATGAGGCTCATATTATGTGTACACTGCAGACATTTCCATGTGACTGTGTTGTTTTATGGATGTTGGCTCAAATGCAAAAGCTAGTTCATGACAATTCATTAACATACTTTCTAAACTATCCATCTATTAACCATGATTGTGTAACCCATTATGTTACCACTGTGTTCACAGAATATGATAAAAAGATAGATGTTTACAGTAAAGAGACAGTAACATGTGACTGGGGAAAGCAGCATCTCTCAATCTGGACCAAGATATTCTACCGAGTATTTATTGTAAGAAATTATAGAGATCAGTACATGCTGAATTTGGACATTCAATACTCTTAAACAACCATTATCAGTTCCCACTCTATCATGATTCTTAAATCAACCTGTATATGCTGGTCAGCTGAGGTCTAAAGAAAGGCTCAAAACAGCAACTTGAGAAGAGAAAGAAATAGATTGATAAGCAACATATTAATGTGGTCATATGAGAAACCTTCAAGATGTGTCATTTTGTAATGCCACAGTATACTGTATATGGGCTGAACTACCAAAATGGTATTGTGCTGAAACAATTACACAGTTACTGGGTCACATATCCATGCAAAAGTCTTGCCATGTATCCTTGATTTTGCAGGATACAATGTACATCTTGTGGCAAGCATATATATCTGTTACAAGCCACTGAGGGCCCTTCCAGATGACTACCCAATCCAGAGTAAGGAAGTGGGATTAAAAATCCCAGAACCTTAAGGAGAGTCTTCACATGAAGCCATTAGTTCCAGGAAATAGTTTCACGGCATCCAGGAATGTTGGTTAATGTTGAAGGGAACTACAAAAGGTACAGTATTTCTGCCAGGAGTTTTCTTGAAGAATTTTTTTAAATGACGCTCTGAGATGTGCTGTACCTGATAAGCATTTGCCAATGCTTATGAGTATTAATGGAGATATAACAAGTAGATTTCCTGTCATCGTCACTCCAAACCCTTCTGGTGCCTTTAGGTTTGTCCTCTTGAACCCCATTTCCCTTTGGGGTCACTTGCCCACCATACTGGTGTC